CACACAAGAAGTCTTTGTCCTAGCGTTGCTACTTTCCTGTAAGTTTATCTTTATTATTTTTTTTAATTTCTTTATTTGACAGAGAGAAACACAGCGAGAGAGGGAACACAAGCAGGGGGAATGGTAGAGAGAGAAGCAGGCCTCCTGCTGAGCAGGGAGCCAGATTCGGGGCTCGATCCCAGGACCCTAGCTAGAATCATGACCTGAGCCGAAGGCAGACGCTTAACGACTGAGTCACCCAGGCGCCCCTACTTTCCTGTAAGCCTAAAATGATTTCCGTAGAGAAAAAATGAGAATTAAAAAGTCAGGGCTCGAAAGGGGGGTTTGAGGCTCTGTGTTTCTACCAGTATCTAAGCCTGTGCACGTATCTGTGGTCAGAGTTTGGGGAATTGGGAGGGTGAATTCGCTATGGCAGACGCTGCCTTGGGGCGGGACCGGGGCCTTAGGGCGTGGCTAAGGGGTGTGGCCAAACTCAGAGGCCTGGCTGGGAACAGGGGCAGGCCACCGCCTGAACCTTGGGGCGTGGCCAGAGCCCAGAGGCGTGGCCAGAATTGGGGGGCGTGGTCTGAGAAGCTTGTACCCGAAGGCGAGTCTGTACTTGGAGCGCCCTCTTGTGGCTATCGTGGGGGGGTCTAGCCTCCACTTTTTAAAGAACAGCTTTATTTTTTACAAAATTTTTAAAAAATAAAAATATAGGGGCTCCTGGGTGGCTCAGTTGTTAAGCGTCTGCCTTTGGCGCAGGTCATGATCCCAGCGTCCTGGGATCGAGCCCCACATCGGACTCCCTGTTCAGCAGGAAGCCTGCTTCTCCCTCTCTCACTTCCCCTGCTTGTGCTCCCTCTCTCTGTGTCTCTCTGTCAAATAAATAAATAAAATCTTTAAAAATTTTTACATAAATAAATAAAATAAAAATCTGAAAACAGCTTTATTGAGATACAATGTATACACCATACAATTCAACTATTTGAAGTGTGCAATTCAGTGGTTTTAGTAAATTCAAAGGGCTGTGCAATCATCATTAAAATGAATTTAAAACCATGTCTTCACCCTAAAAACAAACCCCATACCCATTTGGTAGCCACTCCCTACTTCTCCCCAACCCCCTTCAGCTCAGGCAATCCTTAACATACTTTCTGTCTGCATAGATTTGCCTATTCCAAACACTATATAAATCTGATCATACAGGGGAGTCTGGGTGTTTTAATTTTTTTAAGATTTTATCTATTTATTGACAGACAGAGATCACAAGTAGGCAGAGAGGCAGGCAGAGAGAGAGGAAGGGAAGCAGGCTCCCTGCTAAGCAGAGAGCCCAATGTCGGGCTGGATTCCAGGAACCTGAGATCATGACCTGAGCTGAAGGCAGAGGCTTTAACCCACTGAGCCATCCAGGAGCCCCTTAATTTTTTTTTTTTTTTTTTTAAGTAGCCTCCACATCCAGCATGGAGCCCAATGCTGCTTGAACTCGGGACTCTGGAATCAAGATGTGAGTGAGATCAAGAGTCTGATACTTAGCAGACTGAGCCACCCAGGCACTCCTAGCTTAATGTTTTCCAAATTCATCTACCTCGTGGCATTCATTCCTTTTAATGGTTGAACAATCTTCCATTGTCCGGGTACACTGCTTTTCATTTACTCACCAGCTGATGGACGTTTAGGTTATTTCCACAAATAATTGTGTGGATGCATGTTTTCAGTTCTCTGGAATATATCCGCATAGGAATGAAATTGCTGGGTCAAACACTAACTCTATTTTGCCATAGATAAACTCTCTTTATTTCCCCTACTTTGAGGAGCTGCCAAATCGTTTTCCAAAGCAGCTGCACCGTTCACATTCCCACCAGCAGTTCCAATTCCTCCGCAGCCTCCCCAGTGCTTATTATCTGTCTTTTCCATTACAGCTATCCTCGCAGGTGTGAAGTGGTAGCTCATTGTCATTCTGATTTTCATCTGACTGATAACAATGTTGCGGATCTTTTCCTATCATTCACTGCTTTTGGATCCACTACACGGCTAGAGGAACTCTTAGCCATGGTGCCCTATTTGATCCACATTTTTCCAATTAAGGTATTAATGACATCATCCTTCTTGGAGTCCCTCCCTTTCCCTTTGCCACGTCCTGCAAGTGATGTTCAGCATGACCTCCCGTGTTTTGTTTTGTTTTTTAAAGGTTTTATTTCTTTATTTGACAGAAGTCATAAGTAGGCAGAGAGACAGGCAGAGAGGAGGAAGCAGGCTCCCTGCTGAGCAAAGAGCCCGATGCAAGACTGGATCCCAGGACCCTGAGATCATGACCTGAGCCAAAGGCAGAGGCTTTAACCACTGAGCCACCCAGGTGCCCCCCTCCCATGTTCTCATACTATGATCACATCCAGATGCATCCCCATATAATCTATGGCATTGGCTCTGCAGTTTTTCAAACCTGATATAAATGACATTGCCCTGTAATCCTTCTGCACCTTTTTTTTTAAATTATTATCATTACTCATTATATTAGTTTCCTAGGGCTGCTGTAACTAAGGACCACAAACTGAGTGGCTTAAAGCAACAGAAATTTATTTTCTCCCCATTCTTGGAAGGACCCAAAACCCAGGTGTTGGCAAGGCTACACTCTCTCTGAAGGCTCGAGAGGAGGATCCTTCCTTGTCTCTTCCTAGCTTCTGGTGTTTGCCAGCAATTCTTGACATTCCTTGGCTCTGATCTCTGCCTCTGACACCATGTGGCTTTCTTCCATGTATGTACCTGTGTCCGTATCCAAATTTCCAATCATACTGGGTTTGTGACCCACTCTAATAGTATGAACTCATCTTAACTTAGTGACATCTTCAAGAACTCCACTTCTAGATAAGGTCACATTGTATTTTTTTTTTAAAGATTTATTTATTTATTTGACAGAGATCACAAGCAGGCAGAGAGGCAGGCAGAGAGAGGAAGGGAAGCAGGTTCCCCGCTGAGTAGAGAGCCCGATGCGGCTCGATCCCAGGACCCTGGGATCATGACCTGAGCCGAAGGCAGAGGCTTAACCCGCTGAGCCACCCAGGCGCCGCATCACATTGTATTTCTAAATAAGGTTCTAGAGGACTTGAATTTGGGGCTGGGGCACACTATTCAACCTAGTACACTCATCATGGTGTTTTCAGGACTCACACTATTGGCATGTGTGTCCAATTCATTCATTTGAACTGCTGCGTGGGAAGCCTTTGTGAGAGTATACCGCAATTTATTCATCCCTCCTGCTGGTGATGGCCTTACCTTGTTTCCAGTTTTCTCCGTTTCCGACACCATTTCCGACAAGACTGCAATTAACATTCTGGAACAAGTCTCTTGGAGTTTCTTAGGGCAGTAATTTTCAAACTGCCCAACAAGATCCATTAGTGGGTTGTGAAATCAATTTAGTGGGTTGGAAACATGATTTTCCCTTTAATGAAATGGAATCAAATAGAACAGAAGCTATTGTAACACGTGCACGTAGTCAGGGTACGGATTACCCCGTGAAACTGTTTCAGGTGTATATCATGACCTGATCTGAGCAAACGTGTTTAGGAGCTGGAGCTCAGGAGGCTGTAGCCAATAATGGCTGCGCTCTGTCCAAGGTCTGATGGATGCCACCAAATTACTTTCCAACTTATTTGTTCGTTTACACTCCCATCAGCTCGTCATCAACACTTAGCATAGTCAAAAATCTGACTTTTTACCAGGCCGGTGGGTTGTCATCTTATTTCTGGAAGAGGAAACAGGCTCAGAGAGGGCAGAAATGCCAAGAGCTGGAAGACAGACCCAGCCATCCAGACGGCAAAGACCCGATTTTCGCTGGGTTTGAGATGCAACATTGAGGACCCTGTAAGTGAAGAGTTCTCGAGCTCTAAATAGACACCTGGGTGGGTCTGCCTTCAGCTCCGGTTCAGATCCCAGCGTCCTGGGATCGAGTCCCGCATCGGGCTCCTTGCTCAGTGGGGCGCCTGCTTCTCCCTCTGCCTGCTGCTTCCCCTGCTTGTGCTGGCGCGCTCTCTCTTTAATACATAAATAAAATCTTTAAAAAAAAAAGATTTCTCGTGGTCTAAGACGGAATGAGGACTGAGTGGGGAAAGGAGTTTAGGATGAGAGCTCAGCTAAACCCCTTTCAGCTTCCTACACCTCAAAGGGACGCCTGGGACACAGGGACGGCCCGGCCCACAGCGCCCCCAGGTGGCTGCCTAGCGCACAGCCGGAGTTGGGCTGATGCTACGGATTGCGCAGGTTGGGGCTCCTCCAGCCCGGAGCCTACCAGACTCGCCTTGACCCCCGCATTCTTGAACCCCATCTTCCCGCCTCATCTCCTGAGGGACCCACCTCCTCTGGAAATCTGGGAGTCTCAACTCTGGCCTGATTTCCCTCAGGCCCCTCACGTGGGTACTCAGGAATTATGATGCCAAGCTCCTGCTCCCTCAGACACCCAACCCCTGCTACTAGGGGACCAAGGAGGCTGGTCATTCTATGCTTTCCTTGTCCGGGACAAAGGGATCGCACTATCTCCCCGACCCTTACTCCTAAAAAGTTCAGCTCTCTGATCTTTAATCCTACGCCCCAGCCAACGATCCAAACCTGGGTCCGAAAGCCCCAGGAGTGCTCCGTCCCAGCCCCACCTCCCCGCAGGGTTTGGATAGCTAAGCTCCCAGCCCTACCCCCAGCCCCCAAAGCCTCAGGTCTCCCCCAGCCACTCCTCCACTGCAACCCTTGGGACCCAGGCTCCAGTCGGTCTCAGAAGGGTCCCAGGCGTCCTACCTACAATTCCCACCCATTGAAGTCTCCTCCCATGTCCACCCACCTCAGCCACCCCATCCAGCTCTCTTTAGGGGATCAGACATTCGAACCCCATCTCTAGGAACTCAAGTGCCAGATTCCCCCAGACTCCGCCTCCTCCAGAGAAACGGGCACCTGTGTCCCCTCCCCGCTTCTCCGGGGCCCGCCCCCCCCACCTTTGGCTCCGGGTCCCGCCCCCACTCTGGGCGGGGCCGCACCTTTGTCGGCCGCCGGCCTACCTTCCCCGGAACCCGGGGGCCCATGGCTGCCGCGGCAGCCCCCTGGGGGTGGCGGTCGGGAGAGGCCCGCGCTCTCGGCCGGGCTGTGAGGCAGCTGCAGCGCCTGGAAGAGCAGTGCGGGGACCCCCGGCTTGCCTCCAGCCCCCCCTCGCTGCGAGACCTGCTGCCCCGCATCGTGCAGCTGCTGCGCCAGGTGGCCCACGCCCGGCGGCCGGCCGGCGGAGGCGGCCCCGAGGGTCCCGGTGGTGCGAGGGACTTTCTCATCGTCTACCTTCACAACCTGGAGGCCAAGAGCAGGCAGGTGGCGGCACTGCTGCCACCCCGGGGTGAGAGGACTGCCAACGACGAGCTCTTCCGGGAGGGCTCCAGACTCAGGTGAGAGCCGCCCTGGCCCCAGAGAAGACATGGGATCAGGAGTCCGGGCCCCCAGCCCCCTTCTCCGTCAGACCCAGGCGTCCAGGCCCCCAGCCTTCTCCTCCCTCAAACCCAGGAGTCCCCCAACCCCCTCCTCCCTCAGACCCAGAGGTCCAGACTCCTAGGCCCTCCTCCTTCAGACCAGGGATCCAAGCCCCCAACCCCCTCCTCCCTCAGACTCAGGGGTCCAAGTCCCAAGCCCCGCTCCCTGAAAACCTGTAAAACCAAACAACCCAGTTTTTTCTTTCTTTGGACACCTATGCCCTCAGTTCCCCATTTCCCCTCTTTCTTGGCCATCCAGCATCCCGCTTCACATTGCCCCACTCTCCCAGAGGCCTAGACACACATCCTGGGAATGTGGGGTCCCCAGGGAGCTTCTTGCATGAGGAGGGATGGACTGACATTTCCATCACTGCCCCTGCCTAGGGGGACACACAGGGCCCCCCGGTCTTGGTTCCTGAGGAACACCTAGCTCAGGACCCAGGGCTTATCTGTAGCTCCCCCTGCCTCTTCTGAACTCTGGGGAAGGGGCTGCTGACTGACAGGAGCAGGTGAGGTCTGGGCTCTAGAGCCCAGCTCAAAACAAGGTCCGGACCAGCGGCTCTCAACCCCGTCAGGCAAATACATTTGTCTCCTCAAATTCATCCTGAAATGAAATGCATAGGTTAGGGGCACCTAGGTGGCTCAGCTGGTTAAGTGTCTGCCTTCAGCTCAGGTCATGATCCCCGGGTCCTGGGATCGAGCCCTGCATCGGGCTCCCTGCTTGGCAGGGAGACAGCTTCTCCCTCTCTCATGCCCCCTGCTTGTGTTCCCTCTTTCTCTCTCTCTGTAAAATAAATAAATAAAATCTTTTTTTTTAAAGTGCATAAGTTAAACTATGCATAATTTTTTAAAAAAATCACTATAATACCCAAGGGCTGCCTGGGTGGCTCAGTGGGTTAAAGCCTCTGCCTTCGGCTCAGGTCATGATCCCAGGGTCCTGGGATCGAGTCCCGCATCGGGATCTCTGTTCCGTGGGGAGCCTGCTTCCTCCTCTCTCTCGCTGCCTGCCTCTCTGCCTACTTGTGATCTCTCTCCATCAAATAAATAAATAAATCTTTAAAAAAAAAGTCACTATAATACCCAAACTGTATTATAAGGGATGATTAAAAAAAAAAAAAAAAAGAATGCCCTTCATAGTAACGTTATCTGTGTTTCAAATGAAAATGCCAGGACATGGGGCCCCTGGGTGGCTCAGTGGGTTAAGCCTCTGCCTTCAGCTCGGGTCATGATCCCAGGGTCCTGGGATCAAGCCCCCCATCGGGCTCTCTGCTTCCTGCTTCCCTCTCTCTCTCTGCCTGCCTCTCTGCCTACCTGTGATCTCTGTCAAATAAATAAATAAAATCTTTTAAAAAAAAATGCCAGGACACGATTATAATTATTCTGGGAAGCAGAATGGGCTAGTCAGACATTGGCACCTCTAGGGAGAATCCCTGTGTCACTGAACCAGTCTCCCTTCCCTATAGAGGATCGTCGAATTTCTGTAAAAATAAAGTAAAAATTTAAGATGTGCAGAAAATGCTTTTGTAAAATGGAATTGGGTTTTAGGTTTAGATCATTTAAAATAGACTCTCCACTTTCATGGATGCCTGATGGGACATTCGAAAGTGGAGTGAGATGTGGGCAAATTTTGCTACAGGGGACTGTTCCCAACAATTTAGCCTCCCTACCGTAATGGCTATGTCAAGTAAATTTCTCAAAGCTCCTTAGAAAGGTGGTATAACTCCACTGAGAATCACTGTTCTAGAAACTAGGAAGCATAGGGGCTTAGCGAGTGTCTGAGTTGAGTGTTCTAGTTACTAGGGTTCTAGCAACTCTCTGAAGAAGATTCTAGAACACCACTCCCCACTAAAAATCTAATGCAACCCACATACGTAATCTTTTATTTTCCAGTAGACATATTACAGAAAGATGTTTTTTTAAGATTTTATTTTTAAATAATCTCTACAACCGGGGCGCCTGGGTGGCTCAGTCGGTTAAAGCTTCTGCCTTCGGCTCAGGTCATGATCCCAGAGTCCTGGGATCGAGCCCCACATCCGGCTCTCTGATCTGTAGGGAGCCTGCTTTCTCCTCTCTCTCTCTCTCTCTCTCTCTCTCTGCCTGACTCTGCCTACTTGTGATCTCTGTCAAATAAATAAATAAAATCTTTCAAAAAAAAAAAAATCTCTACACCCAACATGGGGCTCAAACTCACACCCCCAAGATCAGGAGTCACCTGCTCTACCAATTGAACCAGCCGGAGGCCCCAAGAAAGATTTTTTTTAACAGGTGCATTGAGTTTTGATAACATTCCCTTTACTCAACTCACACTATCCAAAATATTATCTCAACTTGTAACCAGTATAAAGCAATAATTAATAAGATAGTTCACATTTTCTTTTTCCAAAATCTGGGGCACCTGGGTGGCTCAGTCAGTTAAGCATCTGTCTTCAGCTTAGGTCATGATCCCAAGGTCCTGAGATCGAGCCCTGCATTGGCTCCTTGCTCAGCGGGGAGCCTGCTTCTCCCTCTCCCTCTCCCTCTGCCCCTGCTCATGTGCTTTCTCTCTGTCTTTCTCTCATGCTCACTCTCTCTCTGAAATAAATAAATAAAATCTTTAATTTTTTTTATTAAAGAGGAGAGACCCCTCTTTTTAAAAAAGAAAAAAAGATTATTTATTTTATTTATTTGAAAGAAAGAGACTGAGATAGAGCACAGGCAGGGAGAAGAGGGAGAAGCAGGCTCCCCGCTGAGCAGGGAGCCCCACTCATGGGACTCAATCCTAGGACTCTGGGATCATGACCTGAGCTGAAGGAAGATGCTTAACCAACTGAGCCACCCAGGCACCCCTAAATAAAATCTTTAAAAAAAAAAAATAATAATAAAGCCAATAGTAAAAAATGAATGTGCACTGAGTGCCGGCCGCACGTCAGGTACTCTGGGCATTCTCTGCTGCCCCTCTGAGACAGGGGCTGCACTTATACCCATTTCACAGTTGGGGAAACTGACATAAGGGGGAATAAAGGAACCTCCCCCAAATGCTGCAGCTAAATGTCAGAGCTATCCTTTTCTGCACCCCCATCCTGACCCATACCCCAGGGGGGCCACTGGCAGGAGAAGGCACAGGGGTCCACCCCCCAGGGCTGCTAAAACCAAGAAGGATCCCAGCACAACCTGCTCTCAGACTGCTCCCAATGCCCTTGGCTCTCATGGGCTCCACTTCTGACAAGGCACCCCTGGGGGGCAGCAGGTGGAGGCTGGGGTCTGTTTGCTGGAGGATGACTGGGATCCTGGGCAGTGCGTCCCTTTCCTTCATGGGTAAGGAAACAGAGGTTCTCAGATGGGAGGTGTCGGCACTGCCATAGGCCATCTTGGAATCAACTTTTTGGTTAGAGTCTGGGGGCCTGGTGCCTGTGGGTCTTCCCCACAGTGGGTGCAGGTGTCGGTGGGAGGCCCAGAGTCCAGTCCAGGCCCTCAGAGCCCATCCCCACAGGCGACAGCTGGCCAAGCTGGCCCTCATCTTCAGTTACATGCACGCGGAACTGGGTGCACTCTTCCCCAAGGGAGAGTACTGTGGGCACACCTACCAGCCCACCAAGACGCAGGCCCATACCTTCTGGAGGGAGCACTGTGGAGCCCGGTGAGTTAGCACCTGTCCCCGGGGCCCCTTAGTTCCAGCGCCTCATCCTGTCCCTGCTCTAGGGGACCCAGGAGTCCTCGCCCCCAGCTGCCTCTTCCCTCAGACCCAGGAGTCCAGCCCCCAGCCACCTACTCCCTCAGACCCAGCAGTCTAGGCCCCCACCCGCCTCCTCCCTCAGACCCAGCAGTCCAGGCCCCCAGCCACCTCCTCCTCAGAGGCCTTCCCATCCAGGTTCCTCCGCTGCATACCCCACGCCCTCCATCCAGGTGTGTGCTGCCCTGGGCTGAGTTTGAGTCACTCTTGTGCACCTGCCACCCAGTGGAATCAGGCTCCACGGCCCTGGCCTTGCGCTCCACCATTAACCTCACCTGCAGTGGCCACGTGTCCATCTTCGAGTTTGACATCTTCACCAGGCTCTTCCAGGTCAGCAAAGGCCAAGGCTGGAAGCCCAGACTCTTGGGTCCTGGGGGAAGGAGAGGTTGGTGAGGGAAGAGGGGCTGGGATCCCAGACCTGTGGTTCCTGGGAAAGGGAGGATCTGGGGTCTTCTGTATCAGATTCCTGAGGCCCGCCCCAGGTGAAAGCAGGGTGACCGAGACTCCGGGAGGCATGAGAGGTGGGCAGCTTCCTCGGTCCCTCCCTGACCCACATGCCTCCCTGCTCCAGCCGTGGCCAACACTCCTCAGGAACTGGCAGCTCCTGGCAGTCAACCACCCGGGCTACATGGCCTTCCTCACATATGATGAGGTCCAAGAGCGTCTGCAGACCTGCAGAGACAAGCCAGGCAGGTAAAAGGGCTGGGCCTCAGGAGGAGGAGGCTGCTGGGGGCTCCAGGGTCTGGATCCTGGGCTGGGGTGTTGGGGAGCCCAGCCAGCCTTTGGGGAGTAAGAACTGAAGGGTTGAAGAACCTGGGACCCCAGACTGCCAAGCACTGAGAGGTAAGATGCTGAGTGCCTCATCTCCTGGGACCTCCCAGGAGCCTAATGATCTTGGGCAGTGCTCAACATGCACCACATTTCGACGTGCATTCTTCTGACACTCTCACAATACAACTTCTCACAATCCAGCAGCTAAAGGAACAATACTGGGGCTTGGGGGCTGAAGACCCTGCCCCAGGATAATATCCATTTCTGATGAGTCAGAGCTCACATTGTACCGTCTGTCAAAAAAAATTTTTAAGGGGCGCCTGGGTGGCTCAGTGGGTTAAAGCCTCTGCCTTCGGCTCAGGTCATGATCCCAGGGTCCTGGGATCTGGCCCCATGTTGGACTCTCTGCTCGGCGGGAAGCCTGCTTCCCCCTCTCTCTCTCTCTGCCTGCCTCTCTGCCTACTTGTGATCTCTGTCAAGTAAATAAATAAAATCTTAAAAAAATTTTTTTTATATGATCCCCCCACACACACACACACACTTGCTGGAGTAGGAGACTGAGATCCAAACACCTGAGTCCTTAGAAGATTTCAAGCCAGGAAACTTGAACCGTTGGGTCCTCCCAGAGGGCTAAGGATTGAGGGACTGGGCTACCTGGAACACCTGGATGTTGAGGGAATAGGAGGTCACATTCACGAGTCTTGCAAGGCTGACTCCAGTAATGCCAAGTATGTTAGCACTCTCCCGGTTAAACTTCATGCTGGTTTAAAGGGAAAGGAAAAGGGATGGATAAATTCTCGTGATTGAAAAGACCAGGTGTGGGGTTTCAGGCACAGCTGGATCTAGGTGCTCAAATGCTGTTGTCAGGAATCAGTATCTTCCCTGTGTCTACTTCTCTCTGTGTTTGCTTCATTCTCAGACATGGTCTCTCCTTATGGTGGCAAAAGGTTTCTAGAAGCCCCAGCTGTACACTCTACCAACTTAGAAACCTCTGTAGGAATAGGGTAACTTGCTCCTGATACTTCTAGCAAAAAAAAATCTCAGTGGTTACTATGGTCAGGGGTCCTAAAAAAGGCACTGATTGGCCAAGATAAAAACAACCTTGTCTGAGCCCCAGTGAAGGAGGAGGAAGAGACAAGCAGGTAAAGCAGCAGGTAATTCCCTATAGTGGAGGACAAGAATTTTAATGCTCGTTGATGAAAAAGTGGGAAGCTAGATTATAAAGGACAAAGACTTAGACACCTGGATCTCCAACAGAATGGGCAGCTGGGAAGTCCCCAGTGGGACAGCAGTGACCACTCCCTCACCCGATCCTACCAACCTCTTCCTCCAGTTACATCTTCCGGCCCAGCTGCACTCGCCTGGGTCAATGGGCCATTGGATACGTGAGTTCAGATGGCAGCATCCTGCAGACCATCCCTCTCAACAAACCCCTGTTCCAAGCACTCCTGGATGGACAAAAAGAAGGCTTGTGAGTCGCCATCCTGGCAGGGGGAGGGTGTCAGCAGAATGTGCTCGGAAAAGTAGCTTGTGTTGAGTACCGCCAAGATCCCTCAGGGCCCAGGTCGCAGGGCAGACATTGTACGTCTGCAATACTACGTTATTCCAGTAGGCGGCAGACGAGGGTCTTGAGAAAGGGGAGCTATTTTTCTTTTCTTTTCTTTTCTTTTCTTTTCTTTTCTTTTCTTTTCTTTTCTTTTCTTTTCTCTTTTCTTTTCTTTTCTAAGATTTTATTTGTTTTAGAAGCAGAGAGAGAGAGAGAGCAAGCTAGAGTGCTACAGGCACATGCAAGCAGGAGGAGGGGCAGAGGAAGAGAGAGAGAGTTTCAAGCAGGCGCTACACTAAACCTGGAGCCCGACCCAGGCCTTGATCTCAAAATCCTGAGGTCATGACCTGAGCTGAAATCAAGAGTCTGAAACCTAACCAGCTGAGCCACCCAGGCGCCCCCAGGGCACCTTTTCTGGTTCACAGAAAGCTGCCATGGGCACTAGCAAGTGGCTGCAAGGAGTGTGTGGGAGCCGACCCCACTGGCTCTGTTCCTGGGAATTCTGCTGAAAATCTTTGGCTTCTAGATACCCATATCCTGTTCTAGAATCTAGACCATTAAAGGAGAAAGAACTGGGCAGGTGTTTTCAACCTCCAGCCTTGGCTGCCCCCCAGCTCCTTTTTCAGAAGCTGCCCTCGGTCAGAGGGGAGTGGAAAAAGGTAGTAGGCTTCCTGAGTCTCTCCCTGAACCTTTAGCCAGAGCTTTCTTACCAGGCGTACCTAAATGATACGATATGAGACAGATGGATATGCGGTTCGTTCTCTTGTTGTTGTTAATGGTAGTTCTGTAAAGTCCCCACGAACACTGATTTATAGAACACTGAGCCATGGCTTATGGGGCAAATACAGGTGTAGTTTCCCGCAAGATTCTGGTCTCATATATTATTTTTAATTTTAAGTAGGCTGCACTCCCAGTGTGGGGCTTGAAATCATGACCCCGAGATCTAGAGCCCCAAGCTCTACGGACTGCACCAGCCAGGCGTCCCATCTGGTCACATTTTTATCAACCAGTTGCTACCTTATTGGTAACCAGTAGCAACCTTTATGTGTTTTTCTGCCTAAAGACACCTTATTTAATGTGTAGTCCGTGTTTTGACAGTGAAGTCAAGTCTAAATAAATCTCATCCGACACGTGTATATTCCCTTATTATAAGGCACAGCCCAGCCTTGTGCTTAGGGACGCTGGACAGCACTCAAGCACTGTCTCGGGGACATTTAAAACAGCGAAATCACCAACAAAATGCATAATAATGCAAAAAAAAAAAAAACATGGCACTAAATGCACTGATAAGGATGCTCGTTTATAGCGTGAGGAACTGAAATGAAAAGGCCGAGTGTCCCCTTCTCCAGCCTCAGCCGGAAACGCATCAGGTGACTCAGGGTTTTGCCATGATGTGCAGTTGGTGAGTGACCATAAGAGTACCATGACTATGGATTTGGGGGTGACAGATGTTAGCAGGGAGACACATCTGCAGAAACGGAATCCAAGAATAATGAGGCTCTGTTGGTTATACTAGTATATCCCGACTTGACAAGCAAGAAAAACTGAGGCACAGAGAGACAGAGCCACTTGCCGGGGTCCCACAGCTACTGAGCTCATGGGCTGGGATTTGAGGCCGAGCTCAGATATGGACCTTCACCCACCACAGTGTCTTGAGTTCCAGGTCAGACTTCATTGGAGAAAAGAGATTCTAGAAATGAAATGAATATGAACATCATCAATCTGGCTTAACCCGTTCCTCTGCCCCATGCTGCCCAGCACACAGACCCCACTACCCATTATAAAGATGGACAGATCAAGGAGAGAGGCGAAGAGACTCCAAGCACTTTCTACCATACAGTGAGGTGGCTTGTGGGGCCTAAAGCTGATCATAGCAGTTCTCTCTTTGGATGTGTTTAGGTGTGGAGGAAGCGTTTTATGGCCGCCACCAATCTTTGCCCCGCCCCCCCTCCCCGGGCATGATTATGTCCATTTTACAGAAAGGAAAACTGAGTGCAGGGAGGTAGAGCTGCCTAGCGCAGGACACAGCGTGTTTGTGGGAGAGCTCTACCTGTTCTGCTCTACCTGGCTGGCCAGGCAGACCCATCAGGCTCAGGGGACCCGTGGCGCCGCTGTAGGGTACAGTTGTGACCCAGAGGGTGCACAGCCCAGTTCTCAGACCTTGCCCACGGCCCTCCAGGCCCTGCTGTGTGGCCTTGAGCTGTTACCTTTCCTGCAGTGAACTTCCATAACTATATGTGAAGTGAGGAGTGTAGACAGTGTAGAAGGGTCCTTCTGATTTGCTCATCCAAGACTAGGATCTGGTTGCTCTAGCAATGCATGACCTAAGACGCTCCTATATTTGGAGCTGAACACTCAAGGACGGGGGCTCTCTGGGAGGGTGAAGACTGGGGTTTCCTGGTTTCTCAGTTTCCTGGTTCCTGTTGACCTGATTTGTGTTTCCAGACCTTGGGACACTTAGGTCTAATGTGCCTTTTTGGGGGGGCTCTGAGGGGATACGGCCCTGCCCTGGGATCCGAGGAGATACCACTTGCCCTGGAAAGTCCCAATGGGAGGAGAGGGAAGGGAAGAGATCCCTAGACCAATGATGGGTTTGGGAGAGATGCTCTTCCAGGGGCCATGAGCCTGTGGCAGAGTCCGGGGAGCCCTTGCTTCTTTGGGTGGGGAATGTTAGATGTCCCTCAGTACCCCCTCTTCCCTTCGCCCAGCTACCTCTACCCAGACGGGAAGAACCACAACCCAGACCTGACTGAGCTCTACCAGACGAAACCCCATCCCTACATCCGTGTGTCAGAGGTGAGGTCACGCCCTCTGCCTCCCACTGCCCCACCCCTGCTTCCTGCCCCACCCCTTACCCCCACACTGTGCCTTGATTCCTGAATTCTCTCCCACAGAGTCAGGCCTAGAATCCCAGAGGCCTTGGGTATGTGTGCTGGTGCGGTGGCCATGTGAGCTGGGTTAAATCACTTGGCCCCTCTCTCTGCCTCTGTTCCTTCTCTGGAAACTACGGCTCCTCCTGCCTCCTCCCCAGGGGTTTTTGCGGGAATTAAACCAGGAAATGATACTGCTGAGGTTATTGGAATGGCTGATGCACTTGAGCTTCCCCCGATGACAGCCCCTGTATAGCTTTTAGTCTTCACAGCCACCCCATGGGTGAGAGAGAAATGCCAAGTGAAACCTTTTGGTATAAGTATATCCCACACACTATCTGGGATATACTTAGACCTGAAAAAATTCCACTTCATTTATCCAGAAATCAGCTTTAACAGGGCATGCTATATTTTTAGTTGCTAAATCTGGCAACCCTGAGTGTAGACCACCCTGGAGACAGAGGCCCACAACAAGGTATAAGGAGGAGGCTCCTGGATACACAACCTTGAACTTTGGAGGGCTCAGAGCTGGCACAAAAGTTTGGGGCTTTCTTCCTGTGGCCTGATTTGGATCCCCATGGCTGACAGGCCCCTTGTCATCCTCCCCATCTTCTCGCCTGCTAGGAGCAGCTGCAGCTCTACTGGGCCATGGACTCCACGTTCGAGCTCTGTAAGATCTGTGCGGAGAGTGACAAGGATGTGAAAATCGAGCCCTGTGGGCACCTGCTCTGTAGCCGCTGTCTGGCCGCCTGGCAGGTGGGTCTGACCGCCCTGCTGTCCTGCCCATTCTCCCCCCACTTTACGGCACAAGTCCCTCCTAGAGGATCACCCACATAGGGCAATGCTTATGGATCAGATGGGGAAACTGAGGCCCAGGGAGAGCAGAGATGTGCTCAGGGTCCCTCAGGAGTGATGAGCAGGAGCCCAGCTCTCTCTGTGCCTCTGTCTCCATCTTGCTCTGTGTCTCTCACCTCCACTCCTCCTTCTCCAGCTGCGTTATTATCCATGGAAAGGGCTCCTTGTTCCCTATTCCTTGGCTGGGCGATCTGGGGCCAGTGGCTTCCCCTCTCTGAGCCTTAGGCTCCACCCCTGGAGAACGGGGCTAACAGTAGCCAACCTCCCAAGGGCTATAGTGAGGATCCAAGCCCACAAAACCCTCTGCAAAGGCCCCCTGGGAAGCCAGGGCTCTTGACCCCTAGGTAGTATAGGACCTGACATTAATTTTTTTTTTTTTTTAAGATTTTCTTTATTTGAGAGAGAGAGAGAGCATGAGAGGGGAGAAGGTCAAAGGGAGAAGCAGACTCCCCATACGCGGGACTCAATCCCAGGACTCCGGGATCATGACCTGAGCTGAAGGCAGTTGCTTAACCAACTGAGCCACCCAGGCGCCCTGGGTTTTTGATGGTAATGGAGGTGTTGGACAAGTATTTGATGGCTGAGGCATGCGTTCCAAAGACTTTCATCTTGGATACACATATTGCCAGCTGTAGGATGCAGCTGCTGGCAAAATCCGATAAGGAACCAGGCCACCCAGCTCATGAAGTCCCCCGTTTAGAAAGCCCAGGGGAACCAGTCAGATGGCTGACCCCGGAAGACCCTCTTCGTCCTTCCCACGTTCTAATGCCTCAAATTCACCAACAAAGAGTGAACCATGAATCCCTAGACACCCCACCTATCCCCTAATAAAGGCAGAGCCCCAGGTGCGTGCACCTTCCCTGTCTCTACACCCGGGACCTCGCCGTGGGGCCCCGGTCCTGCCACGTAACCCCCAGGACCTGTGAGTCATCATCTGGTTCTTCGGAGCTCACTGGTGGCTGTCACCGAGGTGTATCCTGGGATCATAAGAACCGCAGCACTGGCCCCAGTGGTAGCTGCGAGGCAGATGTCTCTGTGGGGCTCACCACAGTTCACAGGGGCCCCGGCAAGCACCTTGGGCATTTCTAGGCAACAGCATCGCTGTGGACAGCTAAGCCCCCCACCCTGCAACACCCTGGCTCCACGGGGCTCCCCACTTGTGCCCCCCTCCTGACCTCACACTCTGCTCCCAACCCCCTTCCCCCCCCCTACATTTCCCCCCAGCTCCTCTCCTCCTGACTCCTCTCCCTCTCTCTCCATCTCCCTCCATCTTTCCTCAGCACATCACTGTTGGGGAGGTAGGCCCTTGTGATCCCAAGGGACACGGTGGAGGACAGGGAGAACCTGACCCGGTCCCTTCCCACCCTACCCCTAGCACTCGGACAGCCAGACCTGCCCCTTCTGCCGCAGAGAGATCAAGGGCCAAGAGGCCGTGAGTATCCAATTCCAAGTGAGGCCAGCGGAAGCCAGGGCCACTGCTGAGCACCTGAGAGATAGCAGTGACCAGGAAGATGGGGAGGAGGAGCTGGGACAGGTGAGCAGGGCCAGGGACTCCTGGGTCTGAGGGAGAAGGTGCTGGGGGCTTGGACTCCTGGGTCTGAGGGGGGCAGCGCTGGGGGCCTCACTTCTAGGTCTGAGGGATAAGGGGGCTTGGGGTCTGGACTCCTGAGGGAGGAGGGGGCTGGGGGCCTTAGGCTCCTGGGTCTGAGGGAGGAGGCTGGGGGCCTAGACGCCTGAGTCTGAGGGAGGAGGGGACTGGACTCCTGGATCTGTCGGGGGAGGAGACTGAAGGCCTCCCTCCTGGGTCTGAGGAGGGGACTGGGGGTCTGGACTCCTGGATCTGAAGGGGGAGGCAGCTGGTGACAGGATTCTGGGGTCCTAGAAGCTGGACCTTTGCTTCCCCCAAGAATCCAGGGCTCTTTCTCCAGCTGTAACTCTCCTAAGGGTTAGGACTTTGCCTTCTCCATTCTATCTCCAAAGCCAGAAGAGTGCCTGAATGCTGGGACTCTGAGCAGAAGGACACATAGGGGGGCAGACAATGGCAGCTTTCAGTCCCCTCCTTACCCTCTGTCTCTCCTAGGTGGTTTCCTCAGCACCCCCACAGCCCCCTCAGCTGAGTGTGTCTCCTGCTAAAGGCCGGCTGAAAGTGGTGAGTCAGGCACTGGTCTGAGGTGGGCAGCTCAGGTCTTACTCAGCCCTGGGGTCTCTCAGGGGCCCCAGGCCCAGCACTCATCTTTGCGCCCACTGACAAGGTGCTGGACGATCCTCTACACCCTCTTGTTCTCGCCCTTAGTTATCCCTCACTGGCTTCCTGGCTCTCCGTCCAGCATCCCAGGCATGTCTTACCCCAGGGCCTTTGCACCAGCTGTTCCTTCTGCCTAGACCTCCTTTCCCCAGGCCTGCTTTCTCATCTCCTCCTCAGGGAGGCCTTCCCTGACTACCTTATTTTACTGATAATAAGAACCCCCCAAGCCCCTGTGCTGATGATTTCCATAGTTCTTTTCACCACCTGCCAGAGGACAGTCTTTAGGCCTCTGCCTTCTCTGGTATGTCTCCAGAGTCTAGAATAGTACCTGACACACACCGGGTATTCAGTGAGGAGACTTTGAATGGATTCCTTGAACTGGGTGTCCCCAGCAGCCCATGGAGTCAAAACTGTTCCCCTCTTCACTTTCCAGAGGAAGAAGGCTCAGAGAGGTGATCGCACGCGCCCAAACCTCACAGCCAGATACAAGAAAATCTGGTGTTTGGGGGGCACTTAGAGAACCCTCAAATCAGCTGCTTATTTTCTAAGCAAGCCCCAGCCTTCTTTCTCTCCCCCACCCCGTACTTCCTACCCCAGGATTTTCCGAGCCCCTGGCCTGCTGGGGAGGGGCCGTCTCTGTTAGTGTCTCAGGCCGAGCACACGCAAGATTCAATCAATACAGGGCTGTCTTCAAACAAACAGCTCAGGAAGTCCGGGAACACGATTCGACCGCAGCAAACAAGTGAGCCAGCAGGAAGGGGGGGTGGCGGTGACACCAGCCAGGGAAGCTAAAAACAGATCCAGACCTGCAGCCAAAAGCAAATGGAAACATTAGGAGGCACTCAGCAGGCTCCCTGAGGACAATGAGGGGGACACAGCCCAAATGGCGGGCCGAGGGGGGCCACAGGGATGCACCGTTGCCTCGGCTGGGCCCTCCACTGGCATGCCCTTTCCTCTGCTCCCCAAACCTGCCCAATTCAAATCCCAGTCAACTCCTACTTCTTCGTTCTTCAAAACACGCAGCAAGAGAGAGGTGGTCCTGGGGGGCGGGGGCGGGGGGGCACCGCTGCCCAGCAAAGTGACCGCCAGAATGAGAACGGTTAACGTGTGCAGAACTTGCTCTATGCCTGGCACTGCCCTTGACCTATTGATTTAATTGTCCTGACAACCCAGCGAGGTAGGTACTGTTACGATCCCTCTTACGCAGAGCCCGATGTGGAGGTCACCAGCTCAAGATGAGAGAGTTGGGACTGGCCCCCAGGCCCCTGGCTCTGGGCTGCAGACTCTGTCCTCCACCCCAGTGGGCCTCTATGCTCCTGTCTGTGAAATGGGCGCCATGCCAGCCCTGGCCGTGTGGGGGCGGGGGTTGGGCTGCTGTGGGCATGGGGCAAAAGGGGCTGTGTCCATGTCCTGGGGGTCTGCGTAGGCCACTCCCACACTGTTGTTCTCCACCTGAGAAACCCCTCTCTAGGCAGCAAGCCCGTCATTCTGTGGGACCCCGGCACCTTGCTGGCCCCTGGGGACCTCTCCCATCCTCACTGTCTCCGTGGAGAATAGCAATAAGCCTGGCATGGGTCCCCCAGGGTCTGAGGAAATGAGCAAGACTGGGTGTTTGGAACCTGGATTCACATCCCTCCCTGTCCTCTAAGAAGCCCCTGCCCGCTGCTCCCCAGGGCTCCCGGAAAAAGCCAACATGCTCTCTGCAGCCCACAAGGCCTGAGGGATCCGACCCCTGCCCACCTCTCTGACCTCTTACCATCCCCCCAACTCCTCTTCAGCAGCAGTGGACTCCTGCTGTTCTTCTAAAGGCCTGCAAGCCCACCACCCATCGCAGGACCTCTGACCACATCTTTCTCACTCTCAGCCTTCTGTGTAATTCCCCGCCCTCTTCCCCGAGGTCTTCCATGGCCTCTCTTACATCTAGTCACCCCCCACTCTCCCCATGCCGTTTCAGTTCCTTGAAGGACATCTAACACTCTCTGGATGTTTCCTTGTCCGTGCACTGATTACTCATGGTATCGTGCACTGATTACTCACTCTCTGGATATTTTCCTTATCTGTGAGCTCATTATTCATGGTAAGCCTCGTGCTCAGTAGATCATCAGTTTCATGAGGACAGAGATTTGTGTGCCTGGTTCATAGCTCTCTCTTCAGAACCTAGAATAGTGCCAGACACCCTGTAGATTCTGAGAATATTTTTGAGATGGATGGATGGATGGATGGATGGATGATGGAAAGATGGTTGGATGGATAGAAAGATGGGTGGGTGGACGGGTGGATGGATGGATGGAGGAATGCGTAGATGGGTGGACAAACAAAACTTCCTACTTAAGCCAGAAGTGCTAGGGAAAAAAACAACATGGACCAGGGACAATTCTGTTGTACTGTCCCTCCCCGCTCCTCCCCCCAGCCACCAAAGTGTTATCACTGTCTGGACCTGTGAAATGAAAGACAGTTGTAGCTCAGCTGTGACATTTCTTAATCTCCTCTTTCCAGGCACCTCTGGCCCTCCCCACATTTCAGGGCCCTCTTTCCTTTCCAAGAATTAAGACTGTGACGTTAGCTCCATGGAAAATCGCCTCCAACCCTCAGGCCAGGGAGGAAGCTCCAGGGTAAGTGGAGAGGCAGCTGGGGTCCAAGACACCTGGGTGTGCGGGAAGACAGGATAGGGGGAGCAGAAGGGAAACACTGGTCCTAGGAAATCGACAGCCCTTCTTCAAACTCTCTCCACTGCAGAAACTCCTAAGGGAAAAGTCATCCCTCCGGCTGCGCCTGGGGGGCCCATGATTCCCTGCCCAGGCATGGGGGCCGGTGAGTCTGCTCCACCCCAGCCCCAGCCAGGTTCCCTCCCTGGGTCTGGCCCTGCCTTTCCCCCAACCGGGCTGTGATACATCTAACCCACCTCTCCTTCTGCCTCGCAGGGCCCCAAATGTACTGCTAAAGGGAGTCCTGGGGCTAGAAGGGGTTTGTGAATAATAAACTGCCAAACCTGGTTGTCCTCAGATGTGTGGAGAAAGTTCAGCAGTCACCAGGGGGCAGCTTGACCTTGGGAATGGGGGTCCCTGAGGCCTGATCTCTGCCCCCCATTAACCCAGGGGTCTAGAGGGGTGAGTGGGGGACCCAGCTCTTCTGGATCCAGGAGTCTAGGCTCCCAGCCTCCTCCCTCAGTCCCAAGAGTCCAGAATCCCAAGTTTTCAGAGAATCAGGCAGCCATCCCTCTTTCCCCACTAATGCAAACGAATTTTCTGGAACCAGATCTAGATATCCAAGTACGAAGTCCCTAGTCAAAAAGACCCCACATTTCTTTAAGAGTAGTGTACCTGATCTTGCCCCAGTGTTCTTATTCCTCTTTTCTCTCCATTCCACTCTGGGAGAAGGATTCCAGTGATTTCCAGTCCAAATCAAACTAAGGAAGTGTCTCCCCACCTCATCACTAATCTTGGAGGGACCCAAGCTTCCCTTCACTTCAGCTTAAACCAGTCCGCACCCCCAGAGCCCAGCCCCGTGCCCAGCCCCAGGTGCATATAGCAGTAATCACTGCCCCCTGGTGGCTCCCAGTCCGGTGGGAGACAGGCTGTGATGACACCAGAGTGGGCAGGGTTGGAGGGGTGGGTGGGGGAGAAATGGGGAGGGAGGGTGCCACAGGAGCCCAGAGTGGACAGCTGGGCCAGCCTGGGAGGTCAGGGAGGACCTCTAGGAGAAGGCATCTGAGCTGAGACTGAAAAGAAGAGGAAAAGATTTCCTAGTGTCAAGGGAGCATGGAAGCCCCCACCGTAGATTTGTCCCAAGCAGCAGAAGCCACCGCTGGGGCAGAAAGAGAATTCACTGAGAGGACGTGCGATCTCTCACAGATTCCCGGGAGCGATTAGAGATCCAGGAGGGGAAAGTAAGCCGAGAAAGGGAAGGGATCCACTGGCAGCGGGCTCCTGCTGTAGCCCTGCCCCCATCACACCATGGAACTGGTCCGATGAGAATACAGTGTTGGCCCGATGAGCCCTGGACAGCAACCGGCCACCTTGTTGCCTCTGCCGCCCCAGCATCAGGCTGAGGCTGCTCTTCTCACCCACGGTTGCCAGCACTTAGTGGTGACGCCAGCGTCGTGGAGACTGTGGGCCGGGATCTGGGGATGGGCTCAGGTGGGTGGGACTGGCTCAGGGTACAGTCAGGTGGTGTTCTGGGCCAGGGCCTCTGGGGGGCTGGACAGAGGGCTCTCTGCGGTCAGACCTCTCCATGTGGCCACCACGCTAGCTAGCTTGGGGTTCCCCGCAGCATGGCTGACTAAGGCAGCCTGACTGCTTGTAGGGTGGCTGACGGCTTAGTGGAGAGTCTCCTGGTAACCCAGGCAGAAGCTGCATGGCCTTTTCTTTTTTTTCAAGATTTTATTGGTTTATTTGCCAGAGATTGAGAGCACAAGCAGGGGGAGCAGCAGGCAGACGGAGAAGCAGACTCCCTGCTGAGCAAGGAGCCCAGTGTGGGACTCGATCTCAGGACCCTGGGATCATGACTGAGCTGAAGGCAGTTGCTGAACCGCCTGAGCCCCCCAGGCGCCCCCGCGTGGCCTTTTCTACCTAATCTTGGGAGTCCTATAACATCACTTCTGCCACGTTCTCTCTATGAAGACTCAGAGCCATGGCATGGCATAGATACAAAAGAGGAAGGGACATAGGGTCCCCCTTTCCTGGGGCGTGTCGAGATCAGATTGTTAGAAGAGCATATGGAGGGGCGCCTGGGTGGCTCAGTCGTTAAGCGTCTGCCTTTGGCTCAGGTCATGATCCCAGGGTCCTGGGATGGAACCCCTCATTAAATGAATAAATAAAATCTTAAAAAAAAAAAAGGAGCATATGGAACGAGAAATATCGTTGCAGGCATCTTTGGAAAATAACGTGTCCCAGCTCCACAAGGGCGTAGACCAACCAGTCCCTGAATCTTAGGCATTATTAGTTCCTGATTCCAAGTACAGCAGGAGTTAGGGGCGCCTGGCTGGCTCCGTCGGAAGAACATGTGACTCTTGACCTAGCAACCGTGAGTTCGAGCCCCACACTGGGTGTGGATGTTACTTAAAAATAAATAAAGAGAAAACTAAAAAAAAAAAGTTCTTATCTAAACTTTTGCTGTGTACAGTAAACTGTTGTCCAACTCAATGCAATCGCACTGCCCTCCCCCCTCCAAAAGACAACAGGGGCTTTCAATAGTTACAGTTTCCCGATGCAAATCTGGAATGACCGCAGAATCACCATTTCCCACCAAATGTGTCATGATCCCGTATTCCACAAGCTGTGAACTCATTGTAAAGTCAACCATCATACACTGTAAAGTAACGAGATAAAGGTACAGTAGTCCCCCTTATCCGCACAGGGAAGGTTCCGAGACCCCTCTCAGATGCCTAAAACCTCAGACAGTAACCAATCCTAGGTATACTGTATTTTTTGACTACGGGCTTAATACTTGGATATCTGTATATACCTATGTTAAAGTTTAATTTACAAGTTAGGTAGAGTAAGAGATTAACAATAATAAAATAGAACAGTTATAACAACATCCTGTAATTAGAGTTACATGAATGTGGTCTCTTTCTCAACATATCTTCTTGTACTCAACTCACCCTTCTTTTTTTTTAATTTTATTTATTGGGACGCCTGGGTGGCTTGGTCGTTGGTGTCTGACTTCGGCTCTGGTCATGATCCCAGGGTCCTGAGATCGAGCCGCGCTAGGGGCTCCCTGCTCCGTGGGGGAAGCCTGCTTCTCCCACTCCCTCTGCTTGTGTTCCCTCTCTCACTGTGTCTCTCTCTGTCAAATAAATAAATAAAATCTTCAAAAAAATATTTTATTTATTTGTCAGAGAGAGAGAGAGAGCGAGCACAAGCAGGGAGAGGCAGGCAGAGGGAGAAGCAGGCTCCCCACTGAGCAAGGAACTCAATGTGGGATTTGAACCCAGGACCCTGGGATCATGACCAGAACTGAAGGCAAGACACTTAACCAACTGAGCCACCCAGCCATCCCTAGACTCACCCTTCTTGTGATGATGGAGAATAAATGCCTACGTGTTAAGGTGAAATGAGGGGCATGACACCAGCATTGGGCTACTCTTGCCCTTCTGAAATATACATCAGGAGGAAGATCATCTGCTTCCGGACAACTGTTGACTGAAGGTAACAAACCATGGAAAAGGAAACCTCCAATAGGCAGGGCAGCCACAGAGGAAATTAAGTCTTGTTAATTAAAATGTGTAAGTGTATACACATGAGACAGGAAGAATGGGATTGGGAAATTCATTTATTGCACAGATCTTGACTCTGCTGCTTATATCAAGGATGATACTAGGCGCTGGATATACAGTGGTATATTCAGCAGAAGACAAACAATGAAAAATAAATGTGTGACACTGGTAAGTGTTGTAGAGGAGAAACGTAGTAGGGAAAGGAAAATAGAAATGGCTGGGAAAGCAGGAATCGTTATTTTAGATAAGATGGGCAAGGGAAACTGATGAGGTGATGTTGGAAAAGAGAGTTGAAGCAAGTAAAGGAGGAAGCTGTGTGGGGAAGAATGTCTAAGCAGAGGGAAGAGGAAGTGCAAAGGTCCTGAGGCCAGAACCCAGAGCATGCCTGACTTTGCAGAACAGCAAGGAAGCAAAGAGACCGATGTGGCAAGAACAGAGCTGGCAAAGGAGAAGAGAAAGTTGGAGTCAGGGAGGTAATGAGGACCAGATCGAGGACCTTATGAGCCATGGAGTAGATTTTAGCTTTTCCTGAGAGGTGCCCTGGAAGGACTCTGAGCAGAAGAGTGATGTGGGTTGATTCACACTTTAACGGGATCCCTCTGGCTGTTTTGTGGGAATAAATTGTAGGGACAAGGGCAGATGACGTTACAGTACTAGTTTCTGCAAGTCTTCGAGGGACGGTGGCTAGTATTTATGCCTTCCTTCATGCACACTCCATACAGTCCTTCCCCTTCGCCCAGAACCTTGGCTGTTTGGATTGAGGAAGGTGGAAGTGGGAGTGTCTGCGGAGAGGGTGCCTACCAGAGTCCAGCCCAAGCAAGTAGGTGTACAAGCAGGAGCCAGAGGAACTGGGGAGTGGGTGTCTGGGGTTGCAGTGTGTGAACTTGTCCCCGGGAACACTTGGAATTGTATTTGTCCATGAGTGAGTCTGTACCATGTGTCCCATGATGATCCAGGAAGCCTGCATGCTCCTGACTCCTGAGCCCTGCAACTTTTCCCTGAGCACCTGCTCCATGTCAGGCCTTATGCAGGGGACACAGCCGTGATCGACAGAGAGAGCTCCAGCCCTGCCCCCATGGACCCGCGGTCCAGTGGGGGGGAGAGATTAATCCACATACAGTATGACCCAGAATGTGCAGGACTGGGTTAGGGGAGCCTAGAGGAGGCTTTTGACCTAGCCAGGGGAGCAGGGAGGCATCCTGGAGGAGGTGATGGTGTAGCTAATACTAAAGGGTTCTCTTTCCCAGTATAACAATTGCTTTCCTGTATCACTGATGAATCAAGTAGCCTTGACCAGTGTGACCAGTAACTCCCAGGCTGACATGTAATCTAAGCCTTCC